CCAGAAAGATAAGGAACGGATCTACGAGACAATAAAAGGATCCGGATTGGAGGCCCGAGTCGGATAAGCCAATCGAAAGAGAGGGGTCGAGTAAATAGCAAGTGTGATGAGGGCACACTCGGTTTGCTACAAAAGGGCACACATTTTGATGATTGGAATGTAAACAAGTAAAAAGTTGTGATAGAGAGGCAGTGGGATTAGAGGGTAAAGAGTAGATAGATAGACAATGACAGAAAGGAGTGATAGTGTAACCGTTTCCAGCAGAACGGTTGTCGAGGCATTGACTTCACTTGTCTCTTTAATGAGTTCGTATCTTGGTGCGAAAAATGGCAAGGCTCACTGATGATGCCGAGAGCTCGTAGCTTGGTGTGGAGAATGGGAAAACTCACTGATGATGCCGACTACGATTCCGGCGAAACGTTCAGTTCGTAGCTTGGTGCGGCGAATGGCAAAACTCACTGATGATGCCGACTACGATGCCGGCGAAACGTATGATATGTATCAAGTCCACTATCAGATGCTGGGAATCATGACAACTACTATGGCAGACGACTTCGGACTAGGTGTGTTCTACCTAGTCTCCCTGAAAACAAGACCAAGTTGCGTCAACGAGGTCAACCCAAAACAATATATTTCAACTAAAAAGTTCTGGCTTACAAGTCAATCACTTGCTAGTTATGTAGAAAAACTGGGTTGTGTACTCACACAACACGTGTGCAATGGGATACAATCACATGCGACAACATTGCAGGATCAAAGGCAAAAGTGTTTTAGAAGAGGATGCAGCTTTTCGGTCTCAATCGCACCCATTTTACGCTTCATCTGTAGCCACTTCACATGTCATCCAACGCCAATTAACTTAACTTATGAGTAAATATAGAGGCAAAGCATAGAATATCTAACCAAAACTTGAGATGCATAAGTGGATCAAATAGGAATATAGGGAAGTAGGTTTGAGGGAGGCAACCTTTCTTGCCTTCGTGTTTTTATGAATTATCGTTAACCATGGCGTCCTTATCTGACGATGTCTGTGACATGATGGACGAAAGCTCAGCAAGGATTCATCGGTGTCGCAGGGCGGTGCGCCGAAGGCCTATTCGCACAAATCTACAACCACAGCTCAAAGACAACCCCCTCTCAGCCTCCGGTGGAATCAACTAACGAATCACTCCCACTCGTCTCTTCAAACGAAATGAAAGGTACTCCAGCTTGCTAGTTAGTTGTGTGGATTGGAAGCATGATAGATGAAAGAGGCTTAAAGGGCTTATTGTAGCTGTCTCAGGAAAATGTTGCTGTTGAAGCGAACAAATTCCCAGTTATCAATGCATGATCGCACTAGCACGTATAACGAGTAACTTAAAATAAAAAAGCCAGTGTGATTAGCCTCAGCAAACAGAATGACTTCATAAAGACTCCTTGAATTTTGGGAAGCAAGTGAAAGGCAAGCGTCAAGGAGTTCACTCGAAAATGTGAACTCCAAGCTAACGAAGATACACATCGTATCATCGATGAGAAAGCCTCTCATGAATACGATTTTCTGACATGAGAGACGCATCGTAACGCACAAAGAGCGATATAATCTTTATTCAGACTTAAATAACTCAACTACATTGCGAAGACTAAAAATGTCCCCTTTAAAAGTAAAGCAACATATTTTTATTGCACTTAGTGCAAGCGCCCCATCATGCTTGATGGTGGACTAGTCTTGCCTGTACGGTCATGACGCTTCACGCCTTCCTTGTGACCCACTGGCAATCTAAGTGGTGCGCCATTGTGGTAACCTGAAAAAAACAAAAGCTGCCCCACCCGGATTCGATTTTCGTTGTGAATGCAGATGAGACCCAAGAAGGCTGGAACCGTAATCCACTCTGGATGAAAATATGTTTCCTAGAGCAAAGCTAATTGAAATTAACTGGCTTCTTGAGGTATACTCATATCATTACGACTACTTCAACTACCGATCCTACATCCTCTTATGAGACTTAGGGTGAATAAAATACTTATAAGTAAATTTAATGTATGAGCAAAGCAGTAAGGTGAAGTTAACTGACTTTCAGCGCATCCTGATCCTCATCATCATCTTCAGTGAATAGCTGTGAAGAGATTCCAGCAAACCCTGCACTTGGCTCAGTGGTTACACTGTCAGCTCCGGAATCAGATGTAAGTCCACTGCCCACACGGTCACTGCTACTGCCACCAAGAAAACTGGCGTACCAAGAATGCCGAGTTGTTTGGGCTACATAAAGCTGCCAGCGGAAAAGACTGATGGGTGAAAAGTAAAGCCGAAGTTGGAGACTTGGTGTGGTTTTGTTTACTGGTTGATAGTCCTCGTTCAGATTCCAATAATCGTTCAAATAAAGCACCGGGTAGTACTGATTGGTAGGTGGATAGAACTCGATGACTGAATAAGGGACAAGCCAAAATAGTTAGTAAGTAAATGACATGAAGGAAGCACAGAAAAGATTTATAATAATAAAGTTGATATTGAGAATAAATCAGTGAATTCAACTTGATTATTTACATTGGTTAAGTTGTGCAGGCACAGAGCCTTGAGTCCAAGGAGTGTGGTCATCGACAAGGTGGATAGTGAGGTTCGGATGCCAATGCGTACAGGGTGGAAGATAGCGGACGTCAGCCGGAGTGTCTGGAGAGGCAATAAGGTCACGATGGGCCTGAGTCTCTCCAGTCAACAGATTCATAGAGCGAGAGAGTTTTCGCCGCTTAAAACGTGTCAGCACTGAAAGTATCAAGAAGAATGGCGTCCAATATGTTTACAACAATATTGTTAATACATGGCATTGTAAGAACAAATAATACTCAATATATTAAGTGGTAAATACTTGATAATGGAAAAGAAATGTAGTTTAATGAAAGTAATCTATTTTCATGCCATGAACTTTTACATCACGCAAGATAATTATAAGGGAAGTATAGAGTCTATGAAATGTTGGAAAAACTAAAATGGAAATTATTGTCAAATATACCTTGTGAATATCATTAGAGCTATAAAAGTAAGGCCAATATAGGATCAGTTGCAGTAAAGTAGAGTATCTCAACAAACAGCTTAAAAATGATTATTTGCCAAAAACAAGCATTGACCGAAGTCCTGAATCAAAATAGTTATTAGAATTCACGCTTACTAAATGGGATGACCTAGGTATTTCGGAACGATAGTTACGAATGGATGATTTTGCAGAATCAGATTCATGATGATTTTCCCACAAATATTGGTTTAAGAAGACAGATTAAATATGGCGAGACAAGACTACATATCGTGTACTAAATAAGGACCCAACCATGGCGACAAATGGAGCCTTATGTGAAATGCAAAAAGATATACATAATGGTAGAGAGAACAATGGAAGGACAAAAAAATTAACCAATAAAAAAGGATGCACGATCGCCATCAGACTACGAATTACCGAAGTTACATAAAGAAGGAGAACCACCAAAGCTAAAATTCAACAAGTATGAAGCAACACATAAATAAGCAAAGTTCATGTCTGAAATTCAAGAAGGTAAACGATGGATTATCAAATACAGTGAAAGATCCATATGCATTTTTTCAAAGGATCAAAAACATGACACTGAAAAAACATAATTATTAGTAGGTTTTGATGTAGAGTCAATGTATACAAACATTTTTGGAGCAAAGGTGCTAACGGTCCTGATAGACATTTTGGATCTAAAAGAGGATATCCTAGAAATAGAGAATATCAGAAGGGAGTCGTTAACACGGATAAACAACTTAGAAATAAGGACTACCTACTTCGCATGCAAGGGCAATATCTATGAACAGACATTTGGACTTCCTATAGGATAGTCGCTCCAACTTCTATTGGCAAATTAGAAACATTAGAAGAAAATTTCGAGATGTTACTGCTGCAACCTAGAGTTCTTATGCGATACCTGAATGGTTACTTCGTAATTTGGTCGTATAGGAGAGAAAAATTGGAGGATTTACCTCGAATATCTATCGGCAAAAGATGTCCGAGAGAAGTAATGCAAAGAAACATACTAACCGTGAAGAGCCGACGACAGAACGGGGATTATGAAAAAAGTAAGGATGGAGAAAGACGCATAAAAGTAGACATGCCTATTCTCTTGTGAATTAACAAAAAACGACGTCCAATATTAAGAGAATGGAATATTCAGATGAGAACGAAGGAAAACCAACTATCCACAAGTTCACTGGCGCAGCATGAGGCTGGACAAGTTGGATTGCTCGGGAGGTAAGATGGCAAGGCAAGCAGCAGGTGTGGTGATGCCAGGATAAATTCACAAAAATGGCATACTTCTTGAGAAGTCGAATATAAACAAGTCATAAGTTGTGATCGGGTGGTAGTGAGATATGATAGGGGGTAGATAGAGGGGCCAGGACAGAAAGAGGACTGATAGCACAACCGTTTCGACAAAGTTGGTAAAGGTATTGATTTCACTTGTCTCTGTGTTGTGGCTTGTTGCTAAGACTGGTAAAGCTCACTGACGATGCCGGCAAAACGTCTAGGAATGTACCAAGTCCACGGTCTGACGCTGGGAATTATAACTACTAAAGCAGGGGACTTCAGACAAGGCACGTCGAATCAAGTCACCTTGACAACACGACCAAGTTGCGAAATGATGGTAAGACCACATCTAAGCAGCAAAAGGAAGGTGTGACCAAGATAGATGGCACAACATCTTGGTCTTTATATCTACGTTAATATACATAGGCATAAACTGTTGACCTTCTATTTATCTAGAGGTGTGAAAATACGGCCAGACTGATCCTTAAATATTATAGGATATGAAAGCCTACTGTAAACCTACAACTGGCATAAATTCGATGGTTGAATCTTCGAAGTGGCTGAAAATTATGGTCCAAGCGACTTATTTTATCGGTAA